CTTCCTTCCTTCCTTCCTTCCTTCCTTCCTTCCTTCCTTCCTTCCTTTCTTTCTTTCTTTCTTTCTTTCTTTCTTTCTTTCTTTCTTTCTTTCTTTCTTTCTTTTCTTTTCTTTTCTTTTCTTTTCTTTTCTTTTCTCTTTCTTTCTTTCTTTCTTTCTTTCTTTCTTTCTTTCTTTCTCTCTCTCTCTCTCTTTCTCTCTCTCTTTCTTTCTCTTCTTTTCTTTCTCTTTCTTCCTTTCCTTTTTCCTTTCCCCTTTCCTTTTCCCTTTCCCTTCCCTTCCCCTTTCCCCTTTCCTTTCCTTTTTCCTTTCCTTTCCTTTCCTTTCCTTTCCTTTCCTTTCCTTTCCTTTCCCCCCCTCTCTCTCTTTCTCTCTCTCTCTTTCTTTTCTTTTCCTTCCCTCCCTCCTCTTTCTTTCCCTCCCTCCCTCCTCTTTCTTTCCCTCCCTCCCTCCCTCCCTCCCTCCCTCCCTTCCTTCCTTCCTTTCTTCATCATTCTCCTCCTCCTCCTCCACACTTGCTTATTAGTATAGTATCTCTTTCCAAAACTGGTACCTTCTTCAATAATGTGGTAAAAACTGAGTATAACCCTTAATTCAAGCTAGGCCTCTGCTTCTATCTGAATTGGTACACACTTAAGGCATCACCTTATAAGAACTACAATTGTACTTGAAATATTTATTTTAGGTTACAGAAACAAAAACAAGCAAACAAACAACAAATAACTTGAAAATAGGCTTGTCAAATGATGTAAATTCATCTTTTCCAGGGAAGCAGAAGGTAGATCATTCTGCTTCACTTCTGCTTGCACCCTGTTGGCTGTTGATCTTTCTTGGGTCTGGATCATTTTCCTCATCTCCTTCTCTTTCCCCTTCCTTATTCACTTCTTTATCTCATTTATCATCATCATCATCATCATCATCATCATAATCATCACCAGTAACTTCTCCAGTGAAGTATATCACTGATCTTGGGATTATATACTCATGTAAAAAGTAACCAATTTCGGAGTCTGCAGCAAGGATAGCTTCTGCAGCGTCATCCAAATCTCCACTCTCAGGAACTTCAGGAGGGGCAAAGAAATTAAAGAAAGTCATTGGAAACTGTTTTAGTCACAGTATCAAATGTCCCACGTCCCTTGTGTTTCTGCTTCTTAATGTTTTCAAAGTGACATTCCTTTTTCCAATCTATCTGGCACCCTGTACAACCCATAATTTCTGGTCCTTCAAAAGAAAAGTGGTCAGAATCATCTGGTTCTGACCTCACCCTCTATGTCTTTGTCAGCACTTTATTGTAAAATATTCATTGGGTTGAAAGTGAAGTCTAAGACAAAACTCATAAGCTGGCTACTTTAATATCTTTCAAGTGCTTCAGAATAGGTTCATCATATTCCTGAACCATATCACCTAGCAAGTCAACATTCTTAAAAGCAGTTAACCGAAATTCAGGAATTCCTTTGGGATCTTTTTCTTCACCCTTTTTCTCATCTTCAATCTAGGCCTTTTCTTTCAACTTCCCTGAAATCTCATCTTCTTCATCTGGTTTCCATTCACTTTCATCTTCCATAGGTTCATAAATTACATTAATCTCACATCACTTATCAAATAGCGGCTGGTAGAGAACAGCATATTTCCTTTCAAGATTATGAACTTCCTCGTAAAATTTGGCTTCTATCTGTGCGCATTTAACTTGCAGGTTTTTGAGAGCATTCACTCGTTTTTTTTTTTTTTTTTTCTGAGACAGAGTTTCACTCTTGTTGCCCAGGCTGTAGTGCAACAGCTGGATTCCAGCCCACTGCAACTTCTGCCTTCTAGGTTTAAGCAATTCTCCTGCCTAAGCCTCCCGAGTAGCTGGGATTACAGGCATGCACCACCACACCCGGCTAATTTTGTATTTTTAGTAGAGATGGGGTTTCTCCATGTTGGTCAGGCAGGTCTCGAACTCCCAACCTCAGGTGATCCGCCCACCTCTGCCTCTCAAAGTGCTGGATTGTGGGCATGAGCCACTGCGCCCAACCTCACTTGTCTTTTACCTACCCTAGGCAGGCTTTCACTGTATCCTGTTGGTATTTCTACCAGACCATC